GATTTGGGGATTTGGGGATTTGGGGATTTGTGGATTTAGGAGTTTAGGAATTTGGGGATATGGGGATTTGGAGATATGGAGATTTGGAAATTTGGAAATTTGGGAATTTGGAGATTTGGGGATTTGGGGATTGAGGGATTTGGGAATTTGTGGATTTGGGAATCTGGGGATCTGGAGATATGGGAATCTGAGTATCTGGGGGTTTAGAAATTTTGGAACCTGAAGAATTGGACATTTAAAGGTTTGGAAATTTGGAGATTTGAGGAGTAAGAGATTCAGAGATCTTATGACTTGTGGATTTGGTGATTTAGGGAATTGGGGTTTGTGGGATTTGGAGTTTTGGGGCGTGTGAAATTTGAGGATTTGTAGATGTAGAAATTTGGAAACTTGAAATTCGAGAACCTAGAAATTTAGAAATGTGAGAATTTGAAGAACTCAGAACTTAAGAATTTGTAAATTTGGGAATTTAGTCATTTTGGGGGTTTTAGAATTTGGAGATTAAGGAACTCAGTGATCTGTTTTAAAGTTTCAAGAATTTGAAAATTTTCGAATTTCATAGTTTGGTTATAAAATTCATAGATATGGAGAATTTAATAATTCACATATCTTCCATCACTCATTTAACAAACAAAAAAAAATAAATATCTCTCTCGTAAAAATATAAAATGTAATACACATATGTGACAATGCACATATAAGTCTACATATCCATCCCTATATCCCCAGCCACAGTAAAACTTTCAAAAATTATAAAAATCTAGGTACCTATTCCACAGTTTCATGTTCCATTCACTAAATTCCTCAAACATTCACATCTAACCAAAAATGACCCATAACTTCATCACCTCACATCACATTTAACACTCCACTCACATTTCTCTCAGGAATATCATAACATAAATTCCACGAAACAACCGAATCACCAATTCTCTGACAACATCACCAATTCTTGTCAACACTTCGAACATTCGCAAACGAATTCTCAAACGACAGCTCCCTATTAGACACAAAATAAACGAGCAATTCGCGAAACGGCAGATTGTTTCAGTAGCTAAAGCTGTCTTTACCACGAGTGAAAATCATCGACTGACTCGACGAGCGATATCAAGAATCTTTCGTGACATTGCCCAGGTGAAAGGTATTCCTGTGTTTGATACCAGCAGGATTTAGCCCGTGTATCCGGTACAACGATGTACCAATCGATCCTCGGGCCCGAAAACTATTCCTAAATTAACTTGGAAAAAGATTAGTTGACTTCTTCGTGCATTTTCAATTAGAAACTCGAACTAGTCGAACTGTGTCAATGTTGGGTGGGATGTTACGTAAAGGTTAATCTAGCGTGACGAGAAAGTTGGAACACTGGGAAATTTTTTATTTTAATGAAGCGTGAATTTATTGTACTTGAAACTAGAGACTAAATGGAAGAATTGAAATTAATTTTTTTATTATTATTGTTTGTAATTTTTATTTAATTTTTTGTGGTTAAGATTGGGCACATTTGGGTTTGGTGAAGATTGGGTATTTTTGGAAGAATTTTATATTTGTTCAATTTAGTTGCAAATTTGTCTTCAAGGAGTTTTATATATTTTGGGGTTCAGGGATTTTTCGAAGAATTAATTTTATATTAGTTCAACATTTATTTAGTAGCAAATTTGTTCTTCGTGGAATATTATCTATTTAAGGGGTTTTGACAGTTTTGGAAGACTCAATTTTATATTCATTCAATATTTATTTAGTTGCAAATTTGTCTTTTGCAGAACATTACCTGACTTGGGATTTTTGAGATTTTTAGAAAAATTGATTTTATATTCACATACTATTTATTTACTTATAAATTTGTCCCTCCTAGAACATTATTTATTTTCAAATAAGAGGACATAAGATAATGTATCAAGTCTGTAAAGCACAATTTTAATTTTTATATTTATATAATTTTTTAGATCCTGCAAATAATGTCACATATGATGTGAGAACATTAAATCACATCTATATTATTTACTACATCATTTTTATTCATTTTAGAATTGTAACTTTACTTCAGAACCTTTCTTTACTTTCATGAAACTATACAACCTTGTAACTGTATATCGATAAGTGACCTGTATCGAAAGTGTATCAAACTTTCATTTCCCCTAAAAAACCAAACTTTCCCTCGAAAGGAATTTCGAAAGATTATGTGGGAGTGCATAATGATTATGGTAATACTTTAAAGATTTCACTTTGCGCGATCAATAAATCTGTAAAAATAGTTTGATTCCTACAGAAATCGCTTGTTCATCAAAGGAACAATGATACTTTCACGTCCCTGAACGAGATGGAACAGCCTCTCCTTTTGTTCGCCGCAGATTTTTCAACGAGATCGCTGAAACGACGGCTCCACGAACGTTAAATCCTTCGTTCCACTTTCCTCGACTTTTGAACGAGGTTCATGCCTGTTTCGGGTCATCGGATAAAGACATGTTGGACGAATGCCAGTGAAACTCGGAAGGATTCCAAATGTTTTGCGGGAAATACGCTCGGCAATGCGACGGATCATCAAATTATCGAATTTGCCAAGAATTTTTAAAAAGATAGAAGTTTGATAAAGTTATCGTAAATGGCGGAGGGTGCTTACGGTGGCGCAAGGTGGCACTGATGGTGCTAAATTTTTAAGATGGCAATTAGGTTTCAAATTTTTATAGTTGGGACATTTATAAATTTTTATGTTTTCAGATATTTTAATTTTTATAATTTTGAAATTGTAAAATTGTAACATTGTAACATTGTAACATTGTAACATTGTAGCATTGTAAAATTGTAACATTGTAAAATTATAAAATTGTAACATTGTAGCATTATAGCATTGTAGCATTGTAGCATTGTAACATTGTAAAATTGTAAAATTGTAAAATTGTAAATTTGTAACATTGTAAAATTGTAACATTGTAACGTTGTAACGTTGTAACATTGTAAAATTCTAAAATACTAAAAGTCTAAAATTCTAATTCCTCAAATTATTAAATTTCTACATTTCTGAAATGCTAAATTTTTAACCTTCTGAATATTTAAATTCTCAAATCATTAAATTTCTATAACTAAATTTGTACATATGGAAATTTGATATTTTCATATACTAAAATTGTCAAATTAAATTTCTAAATTTCTAATGCATGTAATTTAAATTTCTAAATTCCCAAATACTTGAATTCTGAATTTGTCCACGTGCAACATTACTTTCTACGTGAAACAAGTTCTTCGATATTAATTTTCTGTTCAGAGAATAATTCTGAAAGCAGTATTTAATAACAATTTATCCTAATAGGTTTATTCTACCGATAAATTTCATTAATTTTTCAACGACCACAGAGATCTTGACAACCCTCATTATTTATACAAAAGAAGAATAGCCTCCCATACGTACAGTAATTTCACTCCCATTAATTTTTACCATTTCTCCCAACACAAAATGTCGCCCTTATAATTTATACAAAAGAAATCGAACAGTTCCCCTACACTGTCTCTATTACTAACTTGACCAACTTCTATCGATTTTCCGCACATCAGACATATATATAAACACCCTCATAATTTATGCAAAAGAAGAGCAGCCTCCCCTACACGTATATTTACCCTCGCGGTGAAGTAGTTGATGATCATGCTGACAACCCTGTCCTCCTCGTTCTCCTCCATCGGTTTCACGCACATTTTTCTCCTGGTCATGCGAACATGCGTGAGAAACAACAGCAGATGTTCCCAGGTCCACAAATTCCAACAAGGAAAAAGAATACACCACTTTGTCACTTTGTGTTCTTTCATCTGCTCGGGGACAGATACAAACACATTCTGGGCGAATTCATTGCATTATCAACTTTTCTCTCAACATTTAGATCACACTTCTTACACTTCACCTTTGAATTTGGTTCGACTTTTTCAGATTACTTTGGTTTAAGGTGGTCTTCGAATGCGAAATTATTCGAAGGGCAAATTATTGGTGATTTCCTATATTATAAATATTTAGTTCCGTAGAGATGGTGGAAGGTAGATTTGATTTCTTAATTCAGAGTAACGTAGAAAATACTACCATTAGAAAATTGAAGTATGCAGCAATTTAAAGTATGAACTGCTCCAAAGATGTCAATTAGAAAAAGATGTCATTGAAAATTATTGTCATATGTTAATATGGAGTAGTAATAACACTTTAACTCTCCAGTTACCATTCGTAAGACAAGTATACCTCAACTTGTTATCTCATTACACATAACTGCATACAAGTCGAATTACCACGAACTGACGAGCACAGTTAAGTCACCGATAACGTTCGGTATTTCCACGGAAATGCAACAATACAATGATCAATACACTCAGTCACGATTTCTTCACGCAAGTTATTGCAGCGATTTCTCTCAGATCTTCGACAAGGTTGCATCAAGCAATGTTTTTCGCTAGTAATCCACACGTTTTCACCATGACTCGAGACTTCTGGTCACTGTTTCACCTACCACTTGCTTTTATATATCGAGAACTACTTGTGCGTGAGTTTTCTGACTTTTCTTGCTGCGTTTAAAGTTGCTTCGGAAACAAGGTTACTGAACGGTGGAACTTAAATTGTGGGTCAATGTTGATGCTTCACTTGACTGGTTTAGTTTGATCCACTTTAATCACTGTATCGTTTGGATTATTGATTTTCTATTCAAATTAGATCCTGGTTCTGGGAAAAATTAGACTGACTTCTTCAGTTTCCTTTATTCTTTAATTTACTTCAGTCTTGTGCTTTGTTAAATTTACTTTATTCTTCGTTTCACTCTTTTGCTTTATTCTTCACTTTATTCTGTTTCTGCAATTTAGTTCGTTCTTCTGATTTAGTCTTTAATTTACTTTATTCTCCTGCTTTGTTCTTTAATTCAGTTCACTCTTTTGTTTTATTCTGCACTTTATTTCATTCCTCTGCTTTCTTCGGTTAACTTCACTCTTCTGTTTTATTCTTTAATTTATTTCACTCTTCTGCTTTATTCTTTGGTTTACTTCACTCTTTTGTTTTATTCTATAATTTTGTTTCACTCTTCTGCTTTACTTTCGGTTTATTTCACTCTTTAATTTTATTTTTTAATTTACTTCACTTTTCAGGTTTGTGCTTCAGTTTATTTCACTCTTTAGCTTTCTTCTTCAGTTTATTTCACTTTTCTGTTTTATTCTTTAATTTACTTCACTCTCCAGCTTTATTCTTCAGTTCATTTCACTTTTCTGTTTCATTCGTCGGTTTACCTCATTCTTTCAATTTATTCATCAATTCACTTCACTCTTCTATTTTATTTTTCAGTTTACTTCACTCTTCTGATTCCTTTTTCACTTTACTTTATTCTTCAACTATAGTCTTTCTTCTTAATAAAATTGTTCGAGTTGGTCCCTCTGTTTATAGCTGAATTTTTTCACGTTTCAATCAAATATCTCTCTATTAACAATTACAGACTTGCTCATTTAAATTAAAAATATATTTAAGCTTCAACCCATTTTCTTCACTACTGTTACAAACCCTTGCAACATACACTTTCTCAGTTCTCAATATTTCTCCCACTACAAAACTTGAAATCAACAGTTCACTTATTGTTCACAAGTGTCATCACCACTTTAAGTTTTAAAATTGTACAAACTTCTTCTATGCTAAACAGCCATTTGCTGTTACTTCACTTAATATCCTTGCAACAAGACAACTTTATTAATTAACATTTGAAAACCATTTTCTTCTGAGTGCACCATGTAGTTACTGTTAGCAACCACTTCAAACTCCCACATTTAACAAACTCTTCTTTTGTGTTAAACTAAAGTGTTTGTTACAACTTAATTTAACTGTGTCCTTAAGATATAGATCAGTCTTAACAATTAACACTTGGAAACCTCTTCTTCTACCATATAACTATTATTAACAACCAAATTTGACAAACTCTTTTCTGCTAAACCAAAGACTTCTCCAAATTTTCAAACCATGTAAACAGTTTTATTTCTCTTCAACCACTGTTCAAATTTAACAATACCTCAACAACTAATAAAAATCAACAAACTTCCCTAATATCAAGATCCTTTTTCCCTCGTGATTCACCCCTTTTCCCTCAAAAATATTTCCTCTTCTAAACTTAAAAAAAAAACAAAGTTCCAATTCACGTATTTCAACAGTACACTTCTTAGCAAAACTTCACCGTCAATTCTCTTGTAAACTTTAGAGTTTAGTTCTCATGGAAAGCGTCTCTTGTCACTGAACGTACTCCACCAACGCGTACAAACATTATCGTGCACGTGTGAGTACGATAAGCTCGCCCAATGTCAGGATGCAGTGTAATCATGGACTGCGTCACACGTTTTGTCGTTCGAGCTTTAGGTAAGAACTCCCTATAGCGGGAATTTCACTTCCCCACTCTCTTCCTCTTTCCGGATCGATCGCAAAATGTTGACAGTGCGATTAACTTGATTCCTTCGATGTTGGGCAATCGGGCCTTTTTTCAATCGTGTTCAATTTGTGGAACGTGGCGATTATCTTCAAATTCTTTTTATTTGCTGTGGATATTCATGGGAATGTTAACCAATTACACTCGAATGTTAATTACATGTTATTATTACATGTGATGTTAATCATATTTTATTATTACATGTGATATCAACCACATGTGATGTTACATGTGATGTTAACCGTATTTTATTATTACATGTGACATTAACCACATGTGATGTTACATGTGATGTTAATCATATTTTATTATTACATGTGATATTACATGTGATGTTAACCATATTTTATTATTACACGTGATATTACACGTGATGTTAACCATATTTTATTATTACACGTGACATTAACCACATGTGATATTACATGTGATGTTAACCACATGTCATTATTACATGTGATATTAACCACATGTTATTATCTTCACGATAATGAAATAAATAATAAAATAGATGAAGACATTGATAAAATAATAAAATTATCTTCAAGATGTAGTAATGAACATGTCGAGTGCAAAGGGTTAACTGTGCATGATTTTTCAAATTACTATGATTTCAACCAGTGCTGGATGTAAGTTCTAAGCTTCAATCTAGTTCAATTATTAATATGTTAATGAACTTTTATTTTATAGTATAGTAGCATTTATTTTGCAGTATAATACCATATATTATAGTGATGCAAGTATAATATTGAATTGATCATGGCTAATCTGGTGGATGTCGAAATATATTCGGTTTACATACGGTTCACATTAGGCTCACATACGGTTCTACCATATTCTCAGATATATTCTACATTCCTAATTTAGGGATCAGTTTGTGTTATCATTAACAACAACTTTATATTAAATAATTAATGTAGTCATTTGATGTAAATTCTAGACCTTAAACTCACATGTCATAAGTGCTATTTTATGACACTTTTATGTTATCAAATCATATCACTAACACCCAATGACAAATATAAAAATTTTTATTACAACTTGCAATTATAATTTGTTGATTTATTGTAACTATTGTGATTTATTGTATTGTAATTTATACAATAGTGACGTGTTCCAATCAGCCATTTTATATTAAGTACATAATGAACCTCTTCTACAATAATTTTCTTCACACTTAAGATTAAATAAGTCACATCACAATGATACAACATAAGTGCTACTTTACAACATTTTCATGTTATCAAATCATTTTATTGATACATCTTTACATCATAACAATTTATAATTACATTTCATTAATTCACTATAATTACAACTTTCAACGAGATCGATAAACCATATCTCTCCATTACTCATTTCTAAACCGAACGATTACATTAGCGTAGAATAAAAGAATGATTGACAGCAACGCATAATCGAACCGTTCTCACACGAATCTCACTACCAATTTCTATCGAACAACCATCGAAGCGAATCGTTCGTTTCTTATTCGAGATAATGTTCCTCGAGCAGTTTCTATTCGCACGCGGAAGAACAAGCTGAGAATTTCAGCTGGCCTCTCTCAGGTATCCCTAAAAACGGGATCAGCGTTTCTAGATACGACCAGGTAGCCCAACTACTCCCTTGTGTTTGCCCTGGAGGGATTTAAATCGTCAGAGACAGGGGCACTTTAAACGGTCCCTGCCTTGGTTCGTTGAAATTCACGCGTCTGTACATTTTCGTAATACTTTGGCTGCAAGTTGGGGTCATCCGCTGACGTAATTGGGTGACCTGGGTAGAATTTACGTTCTACGTGCGGAATTGTAGATTTTCTGTGATTAAGGAAATGTAGGAAATTTGAAGCTGGCAATTGAGAGATTTGCAGTTGTAAATTAGTACATTTATTAATTTGTAAATTTGTAATTTTAACATCCACAAGTTTTCCCAAGTCCACAAATTCCAAATTTCAACTTTTCGAATTTCTACCTTCTCGAATTCTCAAATTTTCAAATTCCTAATTTTCCGAATTCTCAAATCCCCAAATTCTCAAGTTTCCAAATTCTTAAACCCCCAAGTTCCTAAAACCCCGAATTCTCCACTTTCCAAGTTTCAACGCTCCAAATTCTCAACTTCTCAAGTTCCAACGCCCCAAATTCTCAAGTTTCCAAATTCTTAAACCCCCAAGTTCCTAAAACCCCGAATTCTCCACTTTCCAAGATCCAACTCTCCAAATTCTCAACTTCTCAAGTTCCAACGCCCCGAATTCTCAAGTTTCCAAATTCTTAAACTCCCAAGTTCTTGAAACCCCGAATTCTCCACTTCCCAAGTTCCAACGCTCCAAATTCTCAACTTCTCAAGTTCCAACGCCCCAAATTCTCAAGTTTCCAAACTCTTAAACCCCCGAATTCCTAATTCCCCAATTCCTCAACTTCCCAAATTCTCAAATATCCAACTTCACATAACTCGAAATACCATCTGATACTTCACAAATTCCCCTATTCCCATATTTCCAATTTCCCAAATTCTCAAACTACCAAATCCAATTTCTCAAATCCCCGAAATCCTAAAAATCCCCAAATTCCATCTCACCTTCCCAAATTCTCAAATATCCAACTTCACATAATTCGAAATACCCTCTGATACTTCACAAATTCCCCTATTCCCATATTTCCAATTTCCCAAATTCTCAAACTACCAAATCCAATTTCTCAAATCCCCAAAATTCTAAAAATCTCCAAATTCCATCTCTCCTTCCCAAATTCCCAACTACCTAAATTTCCTAACCTCCAATTCCCTACCTTGCAAATTTCCCAAATAACCCCAAATTCCCATACATTTACATCTCCAAATATCCAAATTCGCAAATGCTCGTATCATCGAACCGTAAAACAAGAGATGCCGGAAAACCAGTAGAGAGTTTAAGCCAACAATCGTTTCGGTGTTGATTCTCGTCAGCGATTATAGAGCAGACGAGAAAACGCAGCTACGATATTTTCAGCAACAGCCATCGCTCGTCGCTTTTCGTCGATCGCGAGGTTGTCGACCCTCGAGGTAGTTCCGAGCTGTCTCGTCTTTGATCTTGCTTTATTTGGCCACGAGTCTCTTATTTACTAGCTACTGTCCGTCGATAAATTATTGTTCGACTGCAGTTCTCATCGGGCACTCGCTTTGACGCTTTGATCATTCTACAACTTGCTGCCTTTTTATCTCGATACAATGAATGTTACTGATATTTGATTAAGTTCAGTGTTGCATACTTTAAAGTGTAATATGAACAGTTGTAATATTTCGTGTCGGGTTTTTTAATATTTCGTGTCAAGTTTTTTAATATTTCGTGTCAAGTTTTTCAAGATTTTTTAATATTTTTAACTTTTTTAATATTTTAATGGTTTTTGAAATGACTTTTACAATTATATAAAAACTATAAAATTTGTTAACTTGAATATTTAACACGAATATTTAAAATATTGAGATATTTCGTTTAAGGAAATATTTTTTGAAATTATTTAAAGAAATGACTTTTTTAATATTTTAATGTTTTATTGAAATGACCTCTGTAATTATACTTTAAAGTGGTTTAGATAATTACTATTCCTTGAGGCATACTTTTATAGTTTTAATTACTAGTTAATTACATTTGCTTGATATGAACAATACTGAATTTTTTATATTAATCTAACGATTTTGTTTATAATAGTGTCTTATTATTTAAAAATTGATGTTTTAATTAGTGTATGATACAGTAAGTACGAATAAAGTGAAGTATAATTATATGGAAATTTAAGTTTGAATTTCATGAACATACTCTTGTTATATTGCCGGTTAAGTACATTCTTCATATTAGTAGTATGAAATTACTATTTCAAAGGCATTGTAACGTTTTAATTACTATTATAATACATACTGATAAATCCTCCCTATATTGCCACCTGCAAGAACCTTCTGCTCCCATCCTATTTATTGCAATATAACGAGTCTGTTGCTCTTCAACTTACTCTAATTAAAAAATAAATTTTTTTCCACTTTCCTATCGAGAAACCTCATTAAAAAATTCTTGATCAAATTTAACTTTCATCAGATCAAATATTTCAACATCCAAAGCAAGATACCTTGTCCTAATTTGCTACCTTGCATCATTCACTTTCGCTGTATCTAATCAATTAATGACTTCACGTTCTTTGTATCAATTCCAGACATCCAGCATTGGTTGAAAAATCACGTAACCGTAATTTCACCTTTCCGATTTAGTTTCTTGTTCCAACTCTAATTACCGTATCACTTCAGTGTTCAACATCCGGCAAAACACCTTCAAACTCCCTCTGGTTGCAAAACACGAAACCTTTTTAAATCTACGCACTTGGAGCACTTCAAACGTCGATTCTACCCACTTCAAACATCAGTTTTGTTTGGGACCTCTTCAAAATCTCGACAGCAGTTTTAATTGAAGCCTTCTCAAAATCTCGACTATCACTTTTGATTCAGTGAACCTGTTCAGAACCTCAACAATATTTAGCAGTTCTACTTCAGAGTACTTGTCGAAATCCTCAACAATATTTAGCGGTTTTACTTCAGAGTACCTGTTCAAAACCTCAACAATATTTAGCAGTTTCACTTCAAAGAAACTCTTCAAAACTTCAACAATATTTGTTAATTTTACTTCAAACCTGCTCAAAATCTCAACACTTTTCAGTTTTACTTCAGAGAACTTCAAAACCCCAACAGTATTCACTTTTACTTGAAAGAACTTGTTAAAAATCTCAGTAATTACCAATTTGATTTCAAAGAACCTGTTCAAAATCTCAACATCTCTAAAGAACCTGAGAGTCTCAACACCTATCATTTTATCGATCTGACAAGTCGACGCAATCACGAAGAGTCACTCGAACGATTCAAATGTCCGCTGTTTCATCGAGTATCCGATAGAATCAGCGAGATTTCGCGGGAGCAGATGATTTCGCGGCAAAATCTCGTCGTCGACTGGCGCAGATGTTGCTCATCCGGGTAGGCGAAGTCAAGGGATCCTTGGGGCGCACCTTTGTGCCGCGACCAAAAACCCTGCCCCTGCATTCAGGTGAGGCAAAACGGGTCACCCCTTGGCCTCTCAGCCCCTCTGGTCCGTCGTTGCCACCGGTAAGAAGGACAAAAACGTCTTCGAGGGGTTCTCAATCTTCTCCATTACGCAGCTGGGGATCCACTACTACCCAGATGCAACAAATCACTCGATTCTCTGTCTCTCCTTTCTAATTCTTTGTTTACTCAGAGATTTTCCTACCTTTTCTAATTTTACGGCGAAAAAACGTCAATGCATTCTTTTAATCTTTTTAATCATAGTAGTTAATCTTTTTTTGTAATTTCTGGAATTATAGTTGCAGACAAATATTATGTTCACGAGTTGATTCGGTACTGTGATGTTTCGGTACTTGTGGTGCTATCTGTTGGATCATGTGAATCTTTGACTTGTGTATTTTGGTCGTGGGGCAGGCTACAGGGTGGTTCATATTTGAGTTCATGTTCATTTTAATTGTGGAAATACTTGTAGGGTGGTTTATCTAAATATCTGAATTGATATTTTATATTTTGGACGTGGATCTATAAACTTGCTGATTTACATCTTTGAGTTGGCACTTAATATTTTGGACATGGACCT